ATAGATAAGAAGAAGATATGTCTAAATGTAACAATAATTGTGATCTGTTAATATGGTATTTTATATTTTCTTACTTTACACATACTTAGCCTCACTTCAGGGGCTATTTGGTAAAAACATACGTTCACCTTGCCGTGGTAGAGGGGAGGAGGGGGGGTCTCATTACCATCCGGCACGTGGGTGGTGTGCCATGGGGGTTGCTCCTGGTCCTTCTCTGATAGCAGAGTGGACCGTTAGCGCAACTCCATGGCTGTTGTGGTCTGCTCTGGCAGACCTGCCGTAGGGGCGTCGTGGTTAAGTGCCTAAGTGATCCTGCGACGCCCCATTAAAACGGGGGAGGTTTTGTTGGGTTTTAGTGAGTAGTACTGGCTTTTCTAGCCGGTGAGTCCAACATAACCATCCGTGTGTGTATACACACAGGTGGTATATGTAAATGCATTTCGCAACATGAAAAAACAAATCAAAATCAAAAGAACGTTATCGGTTCTTAATCTACAATTTATATCCATTCCATACCTATAGGAAACATACGTATATTTATACTAACATACATGCATACTATTTATTGCAAATAATTGTAGCTTTTTATACCAATTAATTCAGTTTTAAGGTATATTAATCACCATAAGTAAGGGAAGTGTAATAACATATATGACTTCAATCAAAATATATCAACAGATTGTCCATATATTTTAATTAAATTTTGCAATGCAGAAAAGCAGAAAGCCTTTGCTCAACGTTTCCTGTTATACAAATAGTCCTGCGGATAAAGTCGAAATTTCATTACTTTTACTCATTTGTACAACAAACAGATGCGATGTGAAAGGTTTTCGTTTAAAAACATTTTAATATTTACATTAAATAACTTTACACTAGTAAACATCTCAATTTACAGAGAACTGAAGGTAAGCTGTAGCTTGCTAATGTCAGGAAGAGAAAGTGCTGGATGGTCACTGCTCATGTAGCGGCAAATAAGTTTGCTAGTACTTAGGTACATACTGTATACAGACAATACATTGGCTTGAGAAAACCATTAGTTAAGAAAAGAATTGATTGAATAGGTACATAGTCGATTTTCAAAACCAACTTGTACTTAATAAGTGTTTGTTGTTTGTTTGTTGCCAACGTAGTAAGTAGTACAAGAAAATTAAAGAGCCGGCAACTGGCAACTTTAGCAATTATGTGAATTGATTATGTCAGAGCAATATCCCATGTCACTAACAAAAGACTCAAGCAAATCACTTCTGCAGCGTTTGTATAGTCACAAATATAGATGGGTGACCGACCATAATCTACTTACACGACGGCTTGTTGTCTATTGTATGTTAGATGTAAGGCGAATTTTAACTATAATAATATGTATTAATAATGTCTATCTGGCCGATTCCGGCCATGGCGGCCAATCTCATTGAGACTAGCCAACTGCGCAGGAGTTATTGTAGTGCAAAAGTGTACGCGCAGACACAACGTGCACTATCTATTCCTGTCACTTTCATACTCCGATGGGACGACTTCTCTACACGACCGGTGAGAGTTAACTCGCAGGACTGACGGCTTTATGTGCTCTCCGAAACACGGGGGTGAAACACCGATAACTTCCCATCTCCTGGATGTTACTGAGGCATACTATACAGAAAGACTAAATAACTAAACTTTGTCCGACCCGGCTCTCGAACCCAGGACCTCCGGGTGTGCAGCCGTACTTGCTAGCCACTACACCACCGAGGATTTAGGTTAGTAACTATAATATTAAAGTTATAACCATAAAATTATACTAATTTTGAACTAATAGAAGTTCGAAGTCAAGTCAAAGTCATGTAGTTCCTTGCTATTACTTAGTTAAAGATTTTTGGGATTACGCCGTGGAAATAAAACACCTCCAGGCTGGTTCAATTTAAAAAAAAATGTAATTTATATTCTTAATTTAAAAAAAAGGGGATTGGGATGGTTTATTTATCAAATCCGTGTAAATACAATTTTTAACACGTGTCGATTTGCAATAACATAATACTAAACAAAGAGTAAAAAGACATAAAAACCGACTTCAAAAAATACACTAAAATGTAAAAAATAACTAATTGGTAGTTTTCATTTACTATAGATAGCTAATCAGATACGAGTATTTTCGAAGTCGGTGTGCTTCATGTATCGGCTGGCATCGACTTCAAAAATATTTGTATTATAGTGTTTTTTTTGAAGTCGGTTTTTTTAAAAAGTTTATTTTTCCCTTTTTAGTGTAGACATAGTAGTAACAAAGTAAAAAGAAATTATTTTACTAAAATATTCGCTTACACCGTTTAAGTTAGTTTGATGCCAATTTTAATATGGAGATTAGCTATATTTATTAGCTACTTTACTTCCTTTTGATTCCCCATACAACCATTCATCCCCGTTTTCAGCTCCTAAGGTGGTGATTTCCGGGATAATAACTATCATATGTCCTTCCCAGGTTCTCAAACTATCTTCCCTCCAGATTTCATCTAAATTGGTTCAGTTGTTTCGAAGCCTATTCAGTGTACACAAAACAAACAATCAATCAAAAAATCAAATCTTTGCTCTTTATAATATTATTATAGATATTTCCACCCTTATGGGTAGTATTTATTTTTCAAATTTAAATGGGACCAAATTGGAAGTATACTCTTTCAATTAAATATTTACTTTGAATTTAATACTTTATTCAATCCATCTTTATTTTACAATTTTTAAAATACCAAGATTTTCTAGTAAACTATACTACTAACATATAATCTGAGTTCTCAAATGTTTTATACATATCAACGGTCTTACAGTCGAATATTCTGCAAATTCAATTACCCATAGTAAATAACGCACTATAAAACGCATATAAAATTTATTGATAACAATACAAAAGCTTTAATAAAACTAACTCAACATCAAGTCTTACATTAATAATACCATTTCGCATATGAAGTACACATAAATTGTACAATGACAAACAGAATTTCGCTGCGCATTAGACGTGCTGCGTGCATAAAAATACGCTTAAACATTATGAATACTGAAAACTTTTCATAGCAGTATTTTAAATAATTTAATAATTTATATACAAAATAAAATATATACTATTTACATTCACCTATTGAAAGAAATTATTCTATTATAAGATTTTTTTAATAAACTTTAAAAAAAATTATGATTTGCCTTGAGCCTTTACGAACGTCAGATATACGAGTAAGTATCTTTTTTATATATATATAAGCTAATGTACAACTAGCTACTACTAATAGAAAATCAAAAAAATCTATCCCACGGGAAAATATTTTTTCCGAGATCAAAAGTAGCCTAATTTTATTCACAATCAGATCCGTTCAGCCGTTCTGGCGTGATTGAGTAACAAACATCCAAACACCCAAAAATCTAAACTTTTACATTTATAATTTTAGTATAGAGAGAATAGATTAACTCTTTCGCTAATATAATTTGTTATGTATAGACAAATAGAAAATTAATAACGTGTTCTAAGATCCGTTCCTAAGATGAATTAATGTATAGTGAATTGGCTTAGTGAATGTTTGCTTAGTAAATGCAATTCTCTCTACGATGAAACTCGTATTCCGGCTCAATACTGAAGGTACTACACGATTATCTATACTAATATTACAAAGAGATAAAGTTGGTGAGTTTGTGGGTTTGTGAGTTTGTGATGTTGTAGGGGGTAATCTCTCGATCTACTGAACTGATTTAGATGAAAATTGGTAAGAAGATAGTTTGAGACCCTGAGAAGGACATAGGATACTTTTTATCTCGGAAATCATTCCTTAACACCTCCAGGTGAAATTCTAAGAAATTAATTAAATTTCTAAGAAATCTATTGTTAACTATAACGCCGGCGTGTCCGCGGTCGTGGAGGGATTAAGGGGGTGAAAATGAGACTAAAAGTTTGTATAGGGAATCAACCTAGGAAAGAACCCGAGCGAAGCTAGGGTTAGTCGCTAGTATGGTATATACTTTTACAATTGGCAGTCTAGGTACTGTACATTTTGCTTCATATTATCACTTAAACTAGGGGTTTTTATTTTTCTATACTAATAACTATATTATCACCTCCAGGTAAATTTCTAAGAAATTAATTAAATTTCTAAGAAATCTATTGTTCACTGTAACGCCGGCGTGTCCGCGGTCGTAGAGGGATTATTATACTAGCGACTATTAAAATGAGAAATTTTCGCGCTGTAATTATTCAGCAGATCATGAGCGAAAATCGGGATGTAGATAACTATATTTTTTTATTAACATATAGGATATTTTTTATCGCACCAAAGAGCAGAGTTGCAAGGGATAACGAGTATTTTATTAAATCGAACAGAGCAATAGAAATGCTTTAAAGTTCAACTAATTCGTTTGATATTTCCGAGCAAGTGAAGCGAAAGCTAATACTCATCTAACTCTTCGAATTAATATGCTAGCTTTGGTTACTTTCATTATAGAGCTTTCTATAGAATTTATTATATAATTTCTATTTAATAAATTATTTTTAAAGTCGATGATAAGTTTTTATCGTATTACGTAAAAATTCTTATGCCCTCTCAGGTAAAATCTTAAAATTGTCATAACTTTGTGTGAAAGAAAAGTTTATGAAAAGATTTAATGGAAATGTAAATTGCTGAATAGTTAGTTCTCTAAACTTTCTCTCCTAGATTTCATTAAATTCAGAGCTTAATATAAAAAATGACTAACAATAAGTGTTTGGTGAAGTATATACCTACATGAAAATAAATGAACAAAGTAAATATACTCTTAACCAAGAGCTTTTAAAAGAAACAGAAATTTCATGAAAGCTTCTGTCTAGCTGATCTTATAATATTTACTAATATATCTAGTTAGTAATTGGCCAAAAATCTCAAATTTTTTGACCCAAAAATATTAGACTCATTCAATTTCCGAATTTTATTAAAATTAGCCTTAGAGCTAGTAATGAGAATAATTTAAATAAATAAAACCGCGTAAGTCCGATACTTGCAGTACTGTCCACTTCAGTGGGGTACACCAACTTTAACAAAATATGCACCAGGATCACTTTTGATCCAACCTGGTGGAGGTTTGGGGACCGGTACCCATTCTTTGACCACTGCAGGCCCCCACATTCTCTTCCATACAGCCACGTATATCTTCTTCTCCTGCCAAGTTTTCACCCATCGAGGCCTCCAAATTAACTTCTTTTTCCAAAATCCTTGGAAGTTAGGCGTCTCGTAGTGATGATGGGATGACCTTTTACTGTAACAAAGTTTATTTTTTTTTACAGTAAAAGGTTATGAATAGCTTTATACTTAAGATTGATATTTTTTTGAAAAAAAAATACATGATAGATACGATGTACACGTATGCGGTATGTTTCCAAAATTCAATCTCTTATTTCACAAATGAAGATATTTAAAAAAAAATAGTTACTAGTACTTTTACTTTTACCTAAAAAATATATTTGCTTATTATTAGAAAGAAGTTGATTATTATTTACTTATAAAAGCGCATAATCTGCTTCTATAGGAAGGGTAATCTACGTATATAAAAATCAATTGCCGTTCGATAGTCTTGCTAAAACCCAAAAACAGCTGGACCGATTTAAATAATACTTTTTTTGGTTTGTTGAGGGTGTAGCAGGAGTGGTGTAAGTATAAAAAAATTGGGTTAAACCCAAAAAAAATGCTGGAGAATCGAAAAGTTCATAACTGGATATTTTGTGCCTATGTAATATGTACATATATGCTTAACATATAATCTATCATTCCATACTAACAGTTAAAACGCTCCTCGGGACGAACCCGAGCGAAGCGAGGGTGAATTTCTAGTCAAATATATAAATTAGAATACCTGACTACGTAAGAAACAAACTCAAAAGAAAGGGACAAGTTATCGAAGGAAAATAGTATTGTGTGGCTGGGTACGGTGCAAAAGTTGAAGAGTAGTACTTGTTTCTTAATATTTCTACCCGACTGCGATGAGGCCCGCACTAGGGTTATGTGTTTGACCTGCCGATTTGCGTCTTGCATTTTTTTTCTCCAAACCTATTGATTAACAAAAATTGAAAGCGGAAAATGTCTTCGTTGTAAAGTAAATATTTTACTGATACTAAATGATATTGAATGAAGCTGTTAGAACCGAATGCGCAAAATGTGTGTTTACATAAGCGAGGCACTATAAACGTTTACCTACGATTGGATGGTAAACATTGTTACATGAACTAACATGAGTCCTCACCTGGCTAGAACTTTAGGTTCCTTATTGGATTGCAGTTATCAAGTTATATGCAATTATGCAGTAAGTTAAATATAACAATATATGTATATTTAAAGATTCAATTAGTAGTATTATTAGTATTGTTAATTAAGTCATGGCTTTTTCTACCTGACTTTGTCTCTATCTCTCTCTCTGACGTTGAAAGCCAAAGAAATTAAGATGAAAGACGTGAGTACTAAGTTAATTGATATGAAAATAGAATAAAATAAAATAATATATTTGTAAGTGAAATAAATATGCTTACAAAAACACAGTAGTATGTAAAATAACAAATTAAACTTCTGTAATATTTTTCTACATTTGATTATCCAAACACGATTCAACAAACTATGTGCCCAGCTTTTCGAATTTCTGTATCATGAAATGTCCATAATTCTATTTCCGATAATTGAAAATTAATATGGTAGGTACAATTATTACATTCCATTTGAATTTCGCATATTTTATAACAAAAGCTCTTCGATAGTGGCTATTAGCCACTGGCTAACACAATATCACCAAATACCTAAGCTAGTAATTACGTTAGCGTTGGAAAGTCTATTGATATAAAATTGTATTTGATATGCGAAGCGTGCTTTGCAACCGCATGTGCACTTGGTGATAACAAAAAATAGATATATTATTATTTATTACTCACATCGCAGGAGTAACAGAAGATTCTGTTGTTTTTTCTTCAATTCCATCACTTGTACTCAAACAAATTTGTGTTGTTAACAGAAGCCCGAAAATAATCTGAAAATATATTTTATATGCTCTTAGCGAAACTCAATAACGAAGGTAAAACTTATGGCGATTGAAATCTATTGAAAGTTACAACACAAGTTTCTGTACAGAATCACAGACAGCTGATAAAACATAGATTCAATCAGTTGAACGAATTTTAGAAAAAGTTCAATATCGTGCGGTGATGGTTTTCGACGAGAAATTCATGTTTCATCGCTGTGTAACTAACGAAATTATACGTGAATATGAACGTGCGAAGTTGCAAAAAAAATCTACTATAAAAGTTTGTTAAAAATCACAGGTCACCGTAGCAAAAGAATAAACTTCTAAAGATAATATATTACATCGTATAACTATGCAACTAACCAGCAGTTGTGCGTTCATTTTGAAATAAAGGTAAACGATAACAGTTCACTGTACACTAAAGAAACGTCGTTATGTGATACTGATGATGTATTGGCCATTAATGCCTTTTATAGGTACACTTTATTTGGCATTTAGGCAGGGCCGGTCAAGCTTACTTCCTTTTTTTATTAATGTATTGACAACAGTGGCACTACTTAAAGTTCACTTAAATTTTACTTGTCTTTGTAAATATTACTAAAAAATGGTTTAATATGCGCAATCAATAATTATAATTGTTGAATAATTAAAACTATCCACATTCAGTTTTAGCGATCCTTAAATAAAAGCAAATATTAAACATTTACTTATACAACATAATGCATATTATGTACGTACCTACTTATATGTGTATCCATACTAATATTATAAATGTGAAAGTGTGTTTGTTTGTTTGCCTTTCTTTCACGTCGAAACGGAGCGACAGATTGGCGTGATTTTTTGTATGGAGGTTGCCACTTTTTACGGCAAGATATTATCTAATTCCCACGGGAAAACACGTTATAATACAACTCAAAAAAATATTTATTATCAGAATTACTTGAAATTTAGTATTAATGCTCTTCAATACAATTAAATAAATACGTGTTTCAGCATTTTTCGAAATCAACCCATATGGGGTTTAATAGGGGAAGAAAGTTTGTATGAAAACTACCTTTTTAGAGTTTTTTTGCAGTTTTAGCGCGGGTGCGGCTAGTATTATATAAATATTTCAGTTGTCAGCGCCATACCATAAATTTCTAAAGGACTTATTACATTATTTTTAAAATTAACTGAATGAGTAATAAAATAAAATCAAATTACCAAGTCCATACATTTATTTATAATTTACGTTAAGCATTAACAGTTGGTAATTATTATTTCTTATATAAATTCGCTGGCGTTAACATCAAACCCCGCATTCGAGACCCGACTCCAATCAGGAGCAAACAACCCGCTGCTCGGGAAAATTGAAAAGGCTGTTTGTAGATTGAATGCTTTTTCAACTTTCTACGATATTGTTAAACCCCGACGCAAAAAAGGTTTGTCATAAGTTTAACGTGTGTATCTGAGTGTCTGTCTGTGTCATCGTAGTGGCCAAACGGATGAACCCATTTTAATTTAGTTTTTTTGACATGATTAAAAGTGTACTTAGCTATAAATCAAGAAAATCCGTTTAGTCGGTATAGGCCATCAGTTCTTTTTTATACGGTAAAAGGATATGAGGTACTTTCACAATCTATCTAATCTATTCGAAACTTGGTATCCCGTTACTTCAATGACATTACAAACATATAATAACCTGGGCCTGATGCTGCAGCGTCACCTAAAATCTTCGGATTCGATTCGCATTACAAACGTGAGAAGTGATTAAATGAGATTAAATAGTTATATTAATCTTGAGGTTGGCGGATGGCTTGGTTCGTAGTAAATCTGTAACTCTTTAAAGATATACAGCAAACAGTCTCGATGAGTAAGTTTTTTTAAAGCGTGCAGTGGCCGCGGTAAACAATTCATGCATAGCGAAATGTAGCTGAAGGAATGTAACTTGGATAAGAAGTTTTTATTGTATCTATGACTTCTTCAGGACATCACGGCTATAACGCATCAAACCCATTCCCCAAATTACCATTTGACAAAAGCTTAAAAATAAAAAGCATGAAATAAATCTTTAATAAAAAACTTAAAAAACCCCAACACAAAAAGGAACAAGATTTAAAATAAAAGATAACGAACCCTCAAAAAGTCAAAAACAATTCCCATTTAATGGCCAAACCAGTGTTCTTTGCCATACCCATTAATTGTACGTCGTCGCTGAAAATATTAACTTATTAAATTTTATGAATTTATTTTGTCCCAAAGGTTCTAACGTGGAACTACATATAAGGTTTTTATAGAAATAATTGTCGTGGTAGAATGAAATATAAAGAAAGTAACAAGTTTGATGAAGTGCTGTTCTTATGGGACCCCGTTTGTTTGATCGAAACGTAGCAAAGATTGAGATGTTTCTTTACATTAAATATTGTGTTGCGCTTGATAAATAAACAATAAGTGTTCGTCCAGTGTTGAGATATTTATTTTTGTATAAACTGGATGATTTTATAGTCATCATATTCTTTATTTACGAATAGAGTTGGTATGAGTGCTCGTGGAAATCTGACTTCGAGAAACAATTGCAAGGTCTTTAAGATTTGCCATATTCAGAAGAAAGGTGGAGATAGCGCTTATGCCGTTGAATTTTTTGATACCACAAATACGTATTATTATATTTTGTGGATCAGTTATATATTGTCGTTGGACAGCTCAGAATTGAGTGAGAAAACTCGAATAGAAATACCGTCTGCGTCTAGCGTGGATTCTAGTGTCGCTGTATCCGATTCACGACAATAGACTTTCATGCTATTGATTAGTATATTTACTACCTACCATATGCTCAGCGTTCTTAGAACTTAATATTATAATTTTAAACACCAAGTTTTTTCTGAGTTACGAACAAAACATCAAGAAGGTGCAGAACTTGTTCATCTACTTATGCGATTTTAAAAACATAAACAAAATGGTGAAATACCCGGGATCAAAAGAAGGACGAACTTTTATAATTATAAAATGTAAATGAAATAAAACTAACTTTGATTTAGAATCTAGGATATAGGACTTAAAAGAGACTAGCTCGTGAAAAAAAGTATAAAAGTTACAAAAAAAAACATAAATGCTAAAAATAATTAAAGCTTAATCAATACCTAATAATTTTGCTTTCTCTAATAAACTTAACAATCCATACTTCCATACTAATATTATAAATGTGAAATTGTTTTTGTTTGTTTGTTTGTTTGTTTGTTTGTTTGTTTGTTTGTTTGTTTGTTTGTTTGTTTGTTTGTTTGTTTGTCCTGCTTTCACGTCGAAACAGAGTGACGGATTGGCATGATTTTTTGTGTGGATATAGTTGGAGGGCTGGATAGAGACATAGGCTACTTATCACCGCGGGAGATTATCTCATTCCCACGCGAAAACACGCTATAATACAATCCAAAAAAATATTTATGATGACACTTGGTATTAATGCTCTTCAATAAAATTAAATAAATACGTGTTTTAGCTTTGTTCAAAATTCATTCCATAAGGGAGTAAAATAGGGAATGGAAGTTTGTATGAAACCTACCTTTTTAGACTTTATTGTAGTTTTAGCGCAAGCAAAGCCACGGGTTTTGCTAGTAATTTCATATTTAGGTAACTTGAGATCCTTCGAAATGACGACATCGGTCTTAGTGTTAAAGTAACGAACGTTCATAAAATATCATAGCACTAAGATGTCTCATCAAGTACTTACATGGAAGATGGCAGTGTTAGTATAGATTCTCTTATAGATAATTTACTTTTATTGTTAAGAAGACCGTGTTGGAAACGAAGTGAGCAGGCACTTAGTTCTCTCCGTTTACGGAACAAAAATAATTGCACGATAAAAACAGCAAAGCATACATAGCTAATATAGAACAATAAAATGTCTTGCGAGTTGCGACCAACAATTTAACTGCCAATGGTAATAAATTAAGATGCATCACAGAGCTCACAACGCTATGCGATCCATAATAAAATATATCGTTCATACGTGTTATTAATACAAATAAATATAAATAAATGAAAGACCACATTATGACCATTAAAATAAGGCTTAAAATTGTTGACAATAATTTAGAATTTCAGATTTCTGATTTTGTTTTATTTACAGGTAGGTACCTACATTAGTTATGGCGTATTTATACGTAACGATCATGTTACTTTGTCTGGAACGCACGTCGCGTTTATGTAATAAGGAAAGCGACCTATCTATCCATACATGACGTAAAATTACGTGTAGTCGACACATATCTATGTTCGTGAATCTATAAGAAATTATTAATGCAATAAAATTTTTAACAATTAGGCTAATTAAATTGAATTATATGCTCATATGGTTTACCTATATATATATGAATATGATAAGTAAATTATCAACTGCTGCTGCTGCTGCTTGACTTGAATATGTTTTTTCATAAATTAAAAGTAGACTACCGACTGCTGCGACTTTACATGTATATTGTATGTATTCAGCTCTTTTTAGCCGTCCCACAGCTGGGCACGGGCCTCCCTTCAGTACGATGGGGAACAGGTCATAGTTCATCACGCTGGCCAAGTGCGGGTTGGCGGACTTCACATGTCTTTTGAAAACTTGCTAGGTTCTCTCAGACATGCAGGTTTCCGTACGATGTTTTCCTTCACCGTTATATTGCCTACTATTTATTCTCATGCTAACAAAATTTGTATCCTAAGAACGGCACGTAATTTCAAAATTATTCTAAATTATAAATTAAGTAAAAAAATTAAAATATTCAAATATTTTACCGACTTATGAAAGGAAAGTCCCATTATCATCAGTTCATTTCAAAGATTACCCCGACCAATAAACAAACATTTTTTTTTCTCATAGTTTAAAGTTGTGAATCTTTTATCTGTGTTTTATTCATTGTAGGTAAAGTCAGAGAGGGTACTTGCTGTTCAACCACAATTATTGTAAAAAACTGCGTATTTGCTGCCTAATCAGGACAGACTTTTGCTATATTATATTTTAATGTATATTTATTATACTAGCTATACCTGCCACTTCGCCCGCATTTAAACTTATAAACTTTGATATAAACATAGTTTTACAATAATGTATGGAAGTCTGCCCGATTTGTTGATATTTATGATTACTAAGGGAAGGCCCTTGGCTAGTAACATGATGATATTATATAGTCCTAGTGCCTCAATTATCGGGCTATCCAATGCAAAGAGAATTTTTCAAATTGATTTAGTAGTTCCTGAGATTAGAGCGTTCAAACAAACAAGCTCAATGTCTCTCCTAATAATATTAATGACACAAATAGTTTGTTTGAAATTCAACGCCATCTATTGTCTACTCAGTGAACTAAATTAACGCGAAGACTAGTTCGAATTAAGGTTCGCCAATTTCTTTGCATGGGATAGCGTGATAGTACACCTAGATTGTGTAATGAGTGACCGCAGTGATTCTTTTTAGAAGTAAGAGATGGCGTTATTATTCATATTTCGGTCTCACAATATGGGAAAATATTATGTAAAAACTGATATATTTTTAAAAATGCTTTCTACATATATATTTTTGTCCAAAATAATAGGTACATTTTATTTTAAATGTAAATATTAAATAACCTTTCAATAACACAATAGGTAAGGCAATGATACATATACCAATATTATTAAGATAATTATATTTTATGTTTATATGTTTTTTAGATTAATAAATAAAACATAAAATAGATGTCATTATTTATTCCAATATTTTGTGTGATAAAATAACGTACATACTTATTTCAATATTCCATTTTCATATTTAATTAATGTTGCCTATTGAGTTCATACAATACCAAATAATTACTCAGTAAAACTTGAATTAAACAATTTAATGTGTAATATAAAAAAATATTAATGCATTCTTTTTATGAGTTAATTATTGTAACAGTACCGGATTCACGTTAACGCCACTCCTGGGTACTTATAGTAAAAAATGCCGCCAAATTATCGAAATTTTGTATATAATGAGTAAAGTTTCGATAAAGTTATTTTTTTTAAATTCAATTATTTTTATGTAAAATGCAAAAACAAAATATTTATAAATGATTACATATTTTTCGAAAAATGTACCAGTAAATTTTTCTAATTAGTAATTTTTTTGGAAAATAAAATAAGCATTTTCGATAACGCGAAGAGTTGAGAATTTTATCCCACTCTCCGAATTTTGTCGCTACTAAAAATTTTCTGCCCTGGACACTAGCCCTGAGTGCCCCCAGTGTAAATCTAGCGCTGTTTATTAAGTAGGTTAGGTTTACAATTTACATTCTTAAGCATAACGGTTTGAAAGATTTTTGACTATTATTATTTGGTACTTCTCGTCGCCTTGGAGTCTCTTCTCATTCCTTATGAAGCAATTACAATTAGTTCGTCGCTACAACCATGGGCTCCATCACGGTTGCCTAGTATGGTAGCCCTCATATAGCAACTACTTATACCTACTAATTTTATAATTTTCCACATTCATTGATTATATGTCATCATTATAGGGCTCATTAGTGATTAGGTCAGGCAATCCAGCCGGCGTGAAGCCAAGTGACAAATTGGGAGGTGGCCGACTTGGTGGGCAGTGTACTATGAGGGTTGTTCCTGGTACTTCTATGACAGCAGAGTGGGAATTTTGAACCGCTTCCATTTTGCATCTGAAAATAGTGAATTGATTTTTCATATAAATAGAGAATTTTCAAATATATTCAGAAGCTTGTATGGAGAAAAATAAAAGTCCAGTCCACGAATTTTTTGCCCAACGGATAATATTATTCAATCTTTGTAATCACTATTTGTTATATAAGTAAACATTGTATAAGTAAATAATTCTTAAAATAATAAATATCAATAATGTGTAATTTAGTGTAATCCATAGAAATATGTGGGTGTCTCAAGTTGTGTCATAGAAACAGTATATTTATCACCTATTTATTTAAATGAAATAAAATTTAGGTACTTATTTTATTCTTTAAATCATTTATCTGGAGTTTAACAAAATTATTTGATGTTTAAAGTTTACATGTCTTAAGATAGTCTTTGTTGTTTCTAAAGTTATTTTAAATCTGAAACAGATGGATACCCTTAATTATAACAGTTATATTGCTAATTATAACTCCCGTCATCTAAAAAGTACGCTAGAAGAAAGTGGAGAGGGTATGTTTGCGCATGGGTATACTCGCGCACAAAAGTACTAAATCTATTATTTTATTTATCATAGCATTTCGCTCGCGGCTTCATATATTAGTTATTGGTAGTGACATTGAAAAATATATTAGATAGAATATCAGTGAATAGAATTTTATTCAAATAAAAATATGTTTTTAAAAATAAATTTTATTAAAATATGTTTGATTCAGTGCAGAATCTACTTACAAAATATTAAATTAATACGTTTAATACATATTTTTTATTATTAACTGCATTATTATTAGACTCTCTCTTTGTAAAACAATATACGTCAAAAACAATTTTTCTCTTTTTTATATATAAAACCATTTCGTAATTAAAAACTTTTGTGTGCGCGATGATATTTCGAACTGACGAACCAATAGCGCGCCGGCAAGCATGCGGCGCGTGCCCCGCTTCTTACTTTTGCGCAGCTTGACAGCCAGCGTTCTTTTTAGATGACGCGAGTTATACATATGGCAGCAAAACAGATTAGTTTAATCATTAGTCATTAAAGGACAAACCCCATAAAAACTGGGGCCCGGTGTTACAGACTTGAAAGTTAGTCATAAGTTAGATTAAATACATTTAGAAAAACATCATAAGGCCAATTTTCATGGGCTTCAGCGGTGGCAAAGTTAGTGAAATCGGGTTTTAAATACGTATGCTATTTTTAGGTTAGATTTTATATTGCACTAGCAGAACCCCCAACATCGCTCACGCTAAAACTACAAAAAATACCTCTACAAAGGTAGTTTCATACAAACTTTCATTCCCTATTTTAACCCCTAATAGGATGAATTTTGAAAAATGCTAAGACAAGTATTTATTTAATTTTGTTGAAGAGCATATACTTATACCAAGTTTCAAGTAATTCTGTAAATAAATATATTTTTTTGGATTGTTATAAAACATGTTTTCCTGTAGGAATTAAGTAATTTCCCGCGATAAAACGTCTAATGCCTAATGCTAAGCCTATGTCACTCTCCAGCCCTCCAACTATCTCCACACAAAAAATCACGCCAATCCGTCTCTCCGTTTCGACGTGAAAGAAGGACAAACAAACACACTTTCACATTTATAATATTAGTATGGATGTTAGACAAATTATTCAATTAAGTAAATGATGAGAGCGTGAAGTCTCTTAAAGACACTTCTATAATTATATCTACAATGTGTTAACGCGTTTTTTTTATTGAAGCAAGTAGATTTATTGAAGGAAGTGTCTTGTACGTCTAATATGGACAAATCTGTTGCACCACCTACCATCCATGCCAATATGACAACTTGGTGCAGTGATATGTATATAGAAATAAAAGACACTTAGATGCTATAATTTATTTTATAAATCATCATCGTCATTAGAATAGTATATTCAAATATTGTCTAATAATTGTGCAGGAAGTGTTATGTCGTGTCCAAGAAACCATAATATGCTCATTGTGTGGGCACAGAAAGTCACGGTTCTTTTTCCCACAATACAGTTGGGCTCGTCTTTTATAAACGCGTCCCCTTCGATCAACAATACTACCGCGTCCCCCAGTAGACTCTTGATTTTTTTTTGTGCAAAGTACTTATTATCTTGAGTAATCCCACAGTTTCAAGTGGAGGAAATAAATACTTTCGGTTTTCGGAATATCAAAGTTAGATAAATATATCCTTCACCTTAACATAAACCTTAACTCTGCACTATTTAGTATTTTATTGCTTTTGTTTTGAGTTTTGAATTTTGATCAAAAATGACAATTGACAAATAAAACTTTTGACGTACTTTTGACAGGAGTGTTGCTATCTTAGGGAGATTTAATTATGTGTTTTGATTTTGCACTTCGAAGGACGCTAACACTCTAATTCCCGTAACTTTATCAGTTTTATTGAAAGGAATTATATGGCAATCAAAACGCAAGTCAAAGATCTTAAAGAACAATCCCTCAAAGTTACAGCAAAATCTTAAACAAATCAGTAATATTTTTTTATTTCAGACGTTTTCATATGGAATAACTCTTATGTAGTGTAACCCCAACACAAGAATAAACGATTAGTCATTCAAGATATTGTTGAGAGTAGTTAACTTAAAAAGATATAAAGTGAGTTTTTTTTTATTATTTTCTTATACATACTGTAAATATTATTTACTTATTGAAACGAAAGGTAGTTTGGACATTTAAAAAAGTAATATTTCAGGCATAAAAGAATATTTTTATACTACAAAACTTTATATTTATCGACTATTAGGATATCTTAACTATTATTATAATAGAAATATATTAAGTACACTCTGTAAAGTGATGTGTAGCAGCCTTATTTCATATTTAACATTTTTATATACACCACCCTAACCTATTTTTTAAACACTAAACACTAACAAATCAATAAATCATTAATCAATACTCGAACTGTCAGGGAAAAGTGCTTTTGATTCTCTGAAAAATTTGCGATTCTAAGTAAATTAATCTTGTAATTGATGTTAAATTGAATTTCAAATAATAAGATCTTTATAATATAATGTTTGATTAAGTGCTAGCTTAAATAAAGTCATCATGCAGCCACTTATGTCTCCAATAGGTAAGTTACTAAAACATTAATTATTAAATGCTGAATTGGACGCTGAAAAATACCCACTATCGTCATTCTTCATAGATAAGTACGTAAAATGTATACTTTGCTGTTATCTTGCCTTTTACCTGCAAACTTTGTATATCTTTTATCCTTGGTACTTCCCTTATATTTATCTCAAAAATAATACTAACGCAAAATTCCTTTTAAATAATGTTACAATGGACTATATAAAATATATATGATAATTAGAATTTACTTTTCATTCATTACTTACATTGTGTTTCTTTGTTCTGCAAAAAAGTCGATACCCATTTTCAGTCCCAATTTCCCTATCCCATTTCTTAAACACATCTAGAAAAGTTAATGGTACACTTTCAATTTACTTTTAACACAGTTGACTTGACTGTTACGTTCATAGATTATGTTGACATTGATGTACTTATCAATATTCAAAGATATCTGTTAATGTCTTATTTGTTTTTCTACAATGTGATTTTGTCTGTATGTAATAAATAGTCATGTCCTTGCTTATAACGAATGAGGTTCATTACAATAATGCTATAATAATTCCTTTTTGTCTAGATAAGATTTTATATTTTCATATCATAAGTGATCAAATTAAATAAAATTTATCAGCATTTGTCAAACATTAAAAAATATCAACAATGTCAGGTAAGAAGTATTAGTTTTTATTTGTTATAAAGCTTATTCCTAAGTTGATAAAGAAAATAATAATTAATTAAAATTTCCCCTAATAAATAGTTTTGGTAACTCAAACATAGGACTTCTATTGCTTAGCAGTATAAGTTAAAAGTTATACTTTCTGTTTCGTTATCAGGAATAAATAAAATACATGTGTTTACTTATGTACATATAGGTATCTTTTCTTTTCATTGACAAATTGAAATTTAAATAACTACCATTATTACTTTATGTTTAGTTAAAGGATTTATTTACAACTTTCATGTTCATAAAATACCTTTAACTTTAATTTCATTTCACATTAAGTTTCATACATTTTCATGTGTTCCATACAATGATGGCATATACATGCATGAACACAAATACTGTTTCCGTTAAAAAATCAATACAGACTTCTATAAATATCCTTGTTAGCCGCCATTTTGATGCAACGATATTGCGCGTCGCGCATCTGCAATACAGGAAGGATGGAAATGCAAATTGTAATTTTCATTTATTATTTTATACAAGACTTTCTAATATTTCATTTATTTTATAATATTTATAACATTGAAATAGATTATTTTTTCAATCTTACTATACCTAATGTCTATTTGCAAAAGTAATACTGAATCTTGGAAGTCATTTTTAGGGTTCCTTAATCAACAATCAAGGAAATGTTATAGTTTTGCCATGTCCGTCCATCTGTGCGCAGCTTAGCTCAGAGACTCTTAGTACTAAAAAGTTGTCATTTGGCATGGATTTAGATATTGGATACGCCGACAAAGTGGTAAATTGAAATCTTGAAAATAAATTTGTTTTAGGATACCTCCTGTTCACGTAAATTTCGATTGTTAGTTTTGGAGTTAAATTTTGCTATTAAGAGGTCCTTTTGTAAAGAAATGGAAAAAAAACAATCAGTATCTTGATTTACCAGTTTTCTGTGTGATTTAGTCGTAAAATAAAATATCAGTTGCATATTAAAACTTGAATATTTTATCCAAATCCTTTTTTAGTTCTACTTTTTTAAGAATTTTTACCATACTTTTATACATAATTAAATTTTAAGTTAAAATTATTTTATTCTTAATAATATATATACATAATATATTACATAATATAATATATTCTTAATACTGTATAAATATGTTTATTTAAAATTGTGGTCTTTCCCTAACACAAGATAATAAAACAATGACCAGTTTTACGTTATATGATACGAATATAATAATGTACCTATATATTTGTCACATTATTCAGTCTAATGGGGATAATGAGTGAGTAAAAACCGTGTGGGACTTGGAGTTTGATATGATTGAGTTAAAAGTGTACCACTTAAATAGTAATTATGTGCTATAATTTTTTATATTACTATAAGTAATTTTTATATAAATATGTCAAAATACATTAGTTTTTTTTATTTATGACGTAAAAAATACATTAAAATTTTCGCGGTAACCATTTTGTTATTCAGTAGTTTCAAAATGACTAAAGGTTCATTTACACGTATGTAATTTAATTTCTAAAACGTACCTTAAGGAAGAGTATGTACGGTGCTGTTTACATTACTCTAGTCTTATATTCACGCGTTGCATTAATATTTTGACACAACATAGATACTCGTGTGGACCCTTCATATTTTTTATCGGATAATAGCTTTTAAAAGAGGTTGAGCCAAAAAGAGGTAAATTATTTAATTCTTTGTGGTCATTTGTCAAATATATATATTTAGTGTTATTGTCAATTGCTAATACAATTACACCATAGAGTATATTGCTACATATATAATGAAATATATATAAATATATATATGAATTACACTGTCTAAGTAGGTATTTATGTTTCATGTTTGATAAACGTTTATCATTTTTTATGTTAATATAGTCGTTATGATTGTTTAATCAATTAGGATTAAATAATTTACACCATTAGTTGTATAAGATAAATGTAAAAACGTATATTTTACTATATCACATGCAGACCTCGGGGATTAAATATCATATAGTATTACAAAAGGAAATAATTTTATCACGCGTCAATTCATTACTAAAATAACCCGTGTTCAATGACGATAATATGGTAGATTTCTATAGTTTTATAATTTTTAGTAATTGGTTCAAAGTTGACTGTTAGTATGTATTCGGCTCTTTTTAAAGCTCCACTGCTGGGGGTGGGCCTCCCTTCTATACGAGGGGGATCAGGCCAGTCCACCACGCTGGCCAAGGGCGGGTTGGCGGACTTCACTTATCTTTCGAAAACTTTCTGGGTTCTCTCAGACATGCAGGTTTCCTCACGATGTTTTCATTCACTTTAAGATACGACAAGTTGTAATCTAGTTGGAAATGATTCGCACACGAATTATTAAGAGTTGAGAGATTTGAACCCGCTTCACTCGGTTTCCCAAGTAAACGCGTTACCACTTGGTTACCACTACCTTAAATGTTATTATTTCTTGTAATTTTGATATAGATTTAAATGTTAATTTAACAGTTATCCATTTGTCACCCCAGACTATGAGGCGCGGACGAGGGCGGGCCATCGAGCGGACAATGAAACGGCTCGCGGCTCTTCTGAGCAAACTCCTCTACTGCAATATCGCTTCCCGAGGGGAAACGATCACGTTAACGCGGCCACGGTTATTGTAGTTGGATGTCTCTTGTTTGTGTTGCTCTCTGGAGCGATCATTGGCATGTATCTATTGCTTATACAAATACAATCTGGTGAGTTGTACTTTATTCACTAATACTTCTATCCCGTGGGAATTCTTTCATAAAAGTAAATTTGTTAATAAAAACCCTGTTAAAATCATTTAAACTGTATTGCCGTCTCGACATAACACTATATCCTGTGTATGTATGACCTAAATCGGTCAAGTCATTCAGAATTTATAAGATCACTTATAAAACTTACCAATAATATGTTTTCTAAATTGTACGCGACATTGGCGAAATGAATTGTACCCAACTGGCACTCCTGGAAGCCATCAAACTAAAGAATAGAATAAAACTTACCAACTATGCTCCTTACTTATAAACGTCCTAAACTGAGAAGGTAATAATGAATTGGCTAACAACAATTTTTACTTGGTTTTCAATGCTAAAAAAAGTTTACTTAGAAATTGATTGAAGTTGACACTAGAGAGACGTTTATTTGAAAGGGACATGTTTATGTTTAAATGTCTATGTTATTGTAGTGTAAAATAAGGTATTTTTACAAACATTTCTTTACACTATATCAATTTTATTTTAGAAAATATAGTCCCCCCTGTCGATACTCCGCATTATGTCCGTCGTTCTGATTGGGCTATAAGTGGTACGTTAAAGAACCGCTCGTCTTCTCTCACCCGATTGTCGACTTCGACAACGGACTGCGTTGTCGTACTGCAAACTGATACAGGATCATGTGACGATATACCTACTTGCGCTGAATTCATTGAGGAAATGGAAGTAAGTTAATAGGTTATTTGTTTTAATATTAAGGCGGTATATCACATCTATCGTGTACCCATTTGCGTGTCGTCTATACTAATATTATAAAGAGACAAAGTATCTACAAGTTTTCTAAAATATGTATAATGTACTTGAATTATAAACCTAGAATGTTTTGTTAAAATATAGATATGAAAACCCCTTAACATTTTCAAATTATCTTATTGTAAATTTAATAATAGCGCTACTTAATATATTATCATGCAATATACTTAATCATGCAATGAAACGTTTTATTGCGCTTGTGAACTTGTGTTTTTGTAGTTATTAGGTAAACCTTTTCAGGTATTATACATATAGTTCTCAGTAGTGATGAAAAGGATAGTTTTTTTGGTCGGATACCGGATATCCGACAAGCTTTAAGACCAGGTAGTTGGCGGCCGGATATTCAGTCTGTTGTCACGTTGCATGTCATCATGACCTAGTGATTTGCGAAAGTCATTTGTTTACTGAGCCCTATAGTTGGTGGTCGGGTAACTTCAAGCACTATCCACACTCGTCAAAGTATACCAGAGTGTACTACATAACGATTTTGCCGCACAGATATTTTTTCTAGCACTTTTTTAAAGAAAAAAAAAATCAGATACTGAGCGGATATCCGTTTCATCTCTTTCATTTTTCATTTCATCAGCGGGAAAAAGCAGAACAGGCAGAATGTTTTATTATCTAAAATCACATGTAATGACTTCAATTTTTATTTAGAAGTATTGACCAGTCTTTGCTTAGCTTTCTGTTTCATACATTCATAATCCCTCCTCATAATACCATTAAATATGAGAAAGCTTAGCTGTGACATAGGATACAGTTGCAACTAGCTTTAGTAATGTTATTATATTTCTACTTGTCTTGATTATTTGTACCTGTTTATTTGTTGTATTTCAAAGTTTTGCTTAATAATTTTTTTTTTATATATTCCAATGGTCCGTCCGCAAGTGAAGTTTTTTTTTTTTTTAAAGAAACGCGAATTACTATTATGTTTAATTTCTAAGGCTAGCGAATAACATGTTATTGCGATTTGTAATGTCTAAGATTCGTATGTACATATGCATAACACAAAATCAAACTCGAAACAACACTAGAACGAATATGTCGTGACCATTTATAGATATGTATCATATAATATCATACAAAACCGAATATTTTATAGTGGTCGTATATTTTATAGTCTGAACTAGCGACTCACCCTTGCTCCGCTCGGGTTCGTCCCTGGGGTGGGGTCTGGGAGGACCACCCTTATCCTTATCACTTAGGGGTATGGAAAATAGATAGTAGCCGATTCTCAGACCTACTGAATACGCATATAAAATTTGGTAAAAATCGGTAAAGCCGTTTCGGAGGAGTACGGTAACTAACATTGTGACATGGAAATTTTATATATTAGATGTAAATTAATATGCTCATTAAAAATTGCAATTTTAGAAATGAAAATGCCAAGGTCATACTAGAATCTAGTATTTAATATAGTAAGGGAGCCCAAGAGGGGATTTTTGGAGTTACTGAAGCGCGGAAGATTAACCTAAGAGGGGATACCTTGCACTCTGTTGAGTACCTCCACCATAATATAAGTCTTTATAAGGGCTCACGCCTAGGTAGAAATATTTAAAACCGTCAGATTAAGGTGTGGTTGGCTAATTACATTCTGAAAAGTGTGCAAATAAATAACCTGCCGATTCCCACAAGCCGAAGAGACAAAAGTCGTACATAAACTTTATAGTGGATAAGTGATAGTAGTACAATTCATTTTTTAATCTGATGATCTTGTATTTGTGCGTCAATTAAGGAAAATCCGATAAAACCACCACATTTTGTGAGTAACAATACTCGAGAGGAGCCTAGAAAATACTATGTACATATATCATTATAGTATACTATGTGGTAAAAACTGCCTTAAATTTTATGGTCAGCTTAAAAATCTAAAATTAAACAAACACAGCGATTTTATTTCATGCTGTTAATTATTATACATAATATTATAATTATTGTTTCAATATACATTATGTTTTAATCGGCGAACTCCATGTGCAAATGCTACATGCGAAATTTAAAATACTCATAAAGTGTTATAAATTATATTTATAAAAAAGTGCGTGTGTGCAATTCACACACGGTAGAAGTGAAACTTCAGAAAAATAACCTACGAGAGAATGAGATGAACATAGAGTATCAGGAGTAGGATAATTATAAGGTTTATTTTTTTATAATATCTTACCAAGTTTAAAAGTTAATCTACATTTTATTTGACATTAATATACATTCTCAAATAAATAAGGCATATTAGGCATATTACAATCATATATTTATAGAATATCATATACGGAAAGAATACAATAATATATATTTATCAAACACTAACAACTGTTACCATGACAACATGGCAATGTATTCTATCTCATTCTCTCGCCGTTTTAATCCTGTATATTTATGTGTTTGTCTCTTTTTAGTGTCGCATTATCATTTAATCGAGTTTCAAATCACAACGATTCTAAAGAAGTTTCACTTCAATAACATTAGCGACTTGTATGCTTCGAGACATGAGAAAATTTATAGAAATATTTTCTCTATCTTTTTCAGTACCAAATGCCGAACCATGCGCTGCCATACAACTACATCATAACTAACGAAGGCGACGCATACGAGTATCTCGGATGGCAACCCTCTGACTACGTTCCCAACCGCACTTCGTTTGTTTTTGCTTTCATTGGTACGTATGGTTACTAATAAAGATATAATATATTTTTTTAATAGCATATTTCAATTTCCCTTTCCTAGGTATGTATAGTGTTAAATTACGCAGTCGCTAGCGAATATCGAGCGTTATGAGTAAAATTTTAATGAGATGCACAAGTGTTTGTTGGCATATCTATATATTTTGATGGTCTATATTTTGAGTCAAAGTTAGATAGGTTTATTTAGATACTTACCTATTTGTTCGACGATTTTTTTCTGTTAGCCCTTTGTAACGTGAATTGGGCCCTGTCTGATTTTTCTAAAAGAGAAATCTCTCACGCAGGTAATTACACATATACCCCACCGACGAGGAGGCAAATTTTTGTCACTAAAAGCATAATCGACGAATTGCTTAATAATGAACATCTCGCCAAAAACTATACTATCGTTGGCAAAGATTTGAAGGACCTCAAATACCTAACTAACGACCCCGGTAATATCAATAAGGAAGTCGACATGCTGATGTTTGTCATTCTTACCAGGATGTACTCTAACTTCACCGAAGCTATGACACATATGTAATATGTTGACGTTGCTGTTTCTACATCATTCTAGTTATGTTTTATTTTATTCTATTTAAGGGTTTTTTTAATAGGGTATACTTATGTATGACTAAGTTGTACTGTTTCCCATACAAACTTTGACAATACTTTTAATATCTTGTTTAAATTAGAAAATCCTTTGAACTTGTTAATTTAGTTTAATTTTTTATATTTTTCATAGAATGAACTATGATTTAATATGATACTTTGAATGAGTTTATAATAAATTTAAAATTAAAATAGCTGCTGTCAAATGTATGGTCTATTGAGAAACCCCTCTAAACACATTTTGTTACATTATTTAATTCGGTTACATTGGTTTTTAATATAGGTATGTACTTGGAAATTTGACTTGTAGTGCTATTCTGTAAGAATTTTCAAATGAATCGACACCATACTTGAAGTTCACGGATTCAGCTATCGATTTACATAGTTCTTACAGAATGTCGCTATTTATCGATTATAAACTTACTCGGTGATAAAAGTTTGTTTACGTTTAAAGCTAATTGATATTTTGTACGTCTCATGTATATTTTATGTACACATTTTTTTAATATTTATTGACCTTTGGAAACTTATTGACGTTTTGAAATCTATACACTTGGTTTTCGATTGAAAATTACTAATATGTATACGTAGCTATAAATAAATACTCTATTACGGGCATTTATAAAGCCCCTTTAAATTAGTGACATAATTTATTGATAATGGAACTTTTAATAGTGTAATATAATAGTTTTGTCAGTGTAAAAGTACCTCAAGTATTCGACTTCTTTTAAACTAAGTCGATGTTGTTATAAGTTGGTATCATGACATATTTTAAAACAGTGGACATAGGAGTGGAACGATAATTATAAATCAAGTTTTTGAGTCAATTTGCGTATATAGGTATAAGCAGTTATATTGCCTTATATAATTACTGGTATCACAATGCTCTCGTGAACAGAAATTCAGCCTAACTCATTAACTTTCGAATACTTTAGAATGTAAGATATTAATCAAACTATGCGATGTTTCTTCGACAATAAATAGATTTTAATACAATTTTTGAAGTTATACTTCTTTTGGCACGTTTGGAATAAAATATGAGAGTCAAATTATGAACGATGCGCGCGCACACCGACAGCCAAAGAGCGACATGATGAAGTTAGTTCTGCGTTCCTTTTACAAATAGACAGTTGTGACATACGAGATGAAATCTTAGCTATTTTTGTTCTGTTACGCCAAAAAAGTATAACTTCTTACGTGCGTACATAAGTACACACTTTTTTTAAAATATATATACTATATACACTGCGGCTCTGTCAGTGAAAACTTTTTGCGTTTGATATTAAAAATTAAAGGACGTTGGTGCTATGTCTCTAAACTCAATATTTTTCGGTAAACGCACAAAGCTAAATTGCGATTCTAGTGATATTTTGGATAATTACATCTAGTTTATAAAAAAATTATCCTTCTGAATTTCTGTTTATACGTGCACCGTTTAAAAACTTACTGCCTTGTTGGACAAGTGGCTGGCATGTACGATTGTGAAGGTCGTGGGGTTCGAGTCCCGGGTCTGGCCAAGTATAGCTCATGGGGGATCGAGTCAAGTATGTGAAGAAATTTGAATTGGAAATTGAATTTGGAAAATTGAAACTTGATCGGTCGTGTCGAATTATCATTCCACCGCAGTTTGAGAATAATATGAATACCTATACCGCACCTGGCTAGTCTCATTGAGACTGGTCAAAATCTGTTAGTAAGATATTATTATCAATATCATTATTTAAAAACGAAACCCTACTGACTTCTTAATCTTAAGGAGTCTGCCCACTACCGTCTCAGAGCATGGCACAGACTACTCTATGCCCACTAGAACGTATCAACAGCGAATCATAGCCGTACATAACGGTCCCGCGACGCTCCGTGCACGGGACGCGACGGTGTCGGTCGGTGACGGAACGGTCTAGTGGGCAGACACCTTTGACCTTTAAAGTTCGAAAACACAGTAAGAAGCAAAGGTCATATTCGAATTTTTGGATGAATTACAGAAAGACTGTAAATTTTCTATCAATATAATATGGTTTTTACGACCCTTTATCTTTTCAAACTAAACAGCTTATTGTCACAATTAGTTTAGGCCAATTTTTAAGAGCGTATTTTACACTGACGAACTCATTTTAACTAATAATAAAAAAATAAAAAATAATAATAGGTATATAAGCATAATTATATACCTATATATATATCTTGCACACTGTGGATTTAAGTCAGTTGATAGTCCGTCTTCGGCATTATTTTGCTCATTGAAATGACTGATTTTGAAATAAACAATACAAAAAATCTATAATTTATTGCCATCTGACAGAAATTTCGCCTGACAAAAATCTACAGTATGCGATAGCACGTACGTGCTCATAGTATAACATAAGGGGAAAATGCGTAATATTATCGCTTAAAGTTATACATTGGTTTATACGCACACACATATATATATATATATATATATATATATATATATATATATATATATATATATATATATATAAAAATTTGGAAGGTCCTTTTGGACGTGGATGAATATTTTGGCATATTTAGAAAAATTTACAAGCGTATTTTGTTCTACAGTGCGCATAGATCAATGTGTGAATTCCTAATAATTAATGTTAGTTGTAAGGAAATTATATAATCGATAATATTAAGGTCCGTAGTTTTATCATTCCTAAAATTTCTATTAGGTATTCAATGTATTATTTTTCTTCGATGTTTTCTTTTATTTTTTGTTAATTATTAATAAAAATGCCATATTAATAAATAAATTAATAATAATAATATTAAAATCCAACAATATTTTGTATTATATTCATTTCTATCTCGATGTTCTAAAGAATGAGGGATCGATTAATAATTAAGGGAAAGGGTATAATGTTAAGTTTATTAATAAAAGTAAGTTATTTATATTAATTTTGTAACGGATGCCGTCTATTTTGTACTAAATATCTATATATATATAATCATATATAAATATTAAAAAAAATGTGTATGGGACCACATGCATTTAAAAAAAATATCTCGATTATTAAATCTAATTAGATATTTTTTGTAAGCTAATCATTTTTAATATTTTAACTTTGAGAATTATGTTTTATTCGAATTTTAATACCTTTTAGGGTTCCGTACTCTCTCACTACTTTATTGCAAGTTGAATTTTGTTCTATATAAAACAATAAAATAGAATTAGTTAACCCAATGTCGAATTTATAGGAATAAATGAATTACAATTCTAGAAAATACGAAGAAATAAGTATGAATTTATTTATAAACCTATAAATGTATAAAAACTCTCGACACGCTTAACTTACACTTTGAGTACATAATATGTTTTTCGAAAACTTGCTAGGTTTTTCCAGGCAGGTTTCCTCACGATGCTTTCCTTCACCGTAAGACAAGTGGTTATCATATTGGAAATGAATCGCGCACATGAAAATATTAGTTGCGAGACTCGGGATTTGAACCCGCTTCACTCGGTTTCTTGAGGGAGCGCGTTACCGCTGGGCATTCAATTACATAAAATTCTTTATTTAAATTTTAATTTTAATATTAAAAAAAAAATATGAATTTATAAATATTATATGTTGGACTGGTTCTTATGAAGAATCGAAAGGAATGCTCTAGAGGTTTTCTATTATTATTTAACCCGGTTTTAGATGACCTGCTTGTTTTAGTTCTAATTATTACAATAAAGATATTAGTACCATAAGATATAGTTTATGTTTGAGTCATTTATATAGTTGCATTATGTTAAACTCATAGGTATGTAATGAATCTTTGTTTTATTGTTTGGATTTTAAAGTTTTTTATTATTTCCTATTTATTATTATTATATGACGTCTATCACCAATAAATTTTTATACTCGACTGTGTTATTATTAGACTTAAGTGTGTTATTTTTAGTGTAATTATGTGTCAATTTACCCATCAACACTTTAAGGAGTTGTTTTTGTGATATTTCATTCGTAACTGTTTATGTTACCTACATATCTTATATAGTCTAAGATACGAAGTAAGATCGACCTTCACCCATCTGCTTACCGGATGAAAATTATAATATATCAAATGAAATATGTTTCTGGACGTATACCAATAGGGTTGTCATTAAAATTATGTGATGTTTGTCTATATATATATATATATATTATATATATATGTATGCATATGTAGTAGAATTGGAAATGAATATATAATAAAGAATATTTTGTGTTTTATTTGACTGGCGTCTTCTGTTTGCAGGAAATGGTAAGAAGGAAAAGAGCTACAAATTGTCACCACCCTAAGAATTATAGACACCTAAATCAAAATTTAAGATAACTTTTCATTGATTGAGTCAATATATAAAACAAGTTTATATGGTTAAATAATTTGTTAATTATGAAAGAACTCGAAATATTGTTCTTTTTTTAGGTCAGGCCTCTATAATTCTATATACATAGGTATATTTATTCACTGATATAATAAAATATAAGTGAATGTATAGAAAATTCTCCACCACCGCCACCTATTATTATGGCTTATTATGTGGTTTGCGTAAGCGAATATATAGGCAATAGCGAAATGTTTTACTTACAAAAATCCCGTTTTTTGAAGTTAGGCATAAATAGAACGATACTACGAGTATACAGCATCAAGACGATAAATTCTGCCATTAAATATTCTTGCGAAAGTTCTACTTGCTTAGGTCTTATTTTAGTTTTCTTTTAGTTGGGAGTACGAGGCTGAAAGTGGTAAATGAGAAATAACTTCGCTAAAAATGTTTTCAAAAATTTTTTTTCATTATCCAATTTTTGAGCAAATTGGAACATTGGTCTAAAAATAATAATAAGGACTGTTAAAATCTGCATAAAATCAAATTTATGACTTGCAGTCTCATTTTATAACAACAATAGCGACTCACCCTCGCTCGGGTACGTTTTAACGGTTAGTATGAAATACAAAACTTTGAATTTCTCGGCTTTTCTGTATTATAATATGCATGTATTATACATATAAACCTTCCTCTTGAATCACTCTATCTATTGCCGAAAACTGCATTAAAATCCGTTGAGTGTAATTTAAAAGATCTAAGCGATCAGCCAGCAGAAGCGACTTCATTTTATACTATGTAAAGATTTTGACTTCAGAATACATATATATGTAAGTAGTCTCATACAACACAATAGTAATAGAAAAATTTCACGACTTGCATTTTATCATAAAGGTTTCAGTAATAGGATACTTCAACCATCTTTTAATATGTAAAGCTGAATCGTTTGTTTGTTTGACCCTGCTAATCTAAAACTACTGATCTGATTTGATTAAAATATTTTTGCATTTAATAACTTATTTTCTTCAATAACTAAATAACTTAGTTCATCAAGACGCTCACTTTGCAGTAAGTACTATACGGATGGCTGTCGCTGATGATGGTACTGATGTATGCTACATTATGCTTAGGTATAAAAGGTAGTGGTAACATCCTCTCCTCGAAAATAAGTTAATTCAAATCCTGTCTTTGTACTCTGGTTCTATCATATGGGAATCATTTACAAAATGATTACCACTCATAGTAAAGGAAAAACCGTGAGGAAACCTGCATGTGCAAGAAAATCTCATTTATCTAAAGACATGGAGTCCGACAAGCTGCATCTGGCCAGCCTGATGGACTATGGCCTGTTTGCTCTTGCATTACGAGTATAAAGGTTTGTATACATTGCGAAATTGTGTTAGTTTGTATTTCTTTTCCGCATCAGCGAATTGACGTGTATTTTGCAGAACTGGAAAGTGATGGGATGCTTTTTCCTTATTCCTTTTATATCTGGTAATTCCCCGTGTTATATAAGTAGACCTGTGTATGTATATAAAATAAAAATATAAATTATTTCAAGACCGTTGTTTTATCTATGTAATAATAAGAGCGAAGTACGGGGTTGAGTCACGTAGAGTCCTACATTTTTCGCAAATGCTTTGAGTAGTATGTACCTATATTTGTATTTAAAAAACTAGCATTGCCCGCGGCTTCGCCCCCGTTCAGATGACTTAAAACGAAATTCTTAGGTTTTACATATTATTGTACTCTTACATTGCAATTTTTGTATTTTTTCTCAGAAATGAGACATTTTACCGCGGTATAAATCCTATATTTTGGGCCGGATAACCAGCTATTACCATATCAAATTTCATCAAAATCCCTCCAGTGGTTTTTTTGTGATGCGGTGACAGACAGACAAAAATTCTAAAAACTAGATTCGGCCCCTGTATCTATAATAATGTCTATTTCAATAAGTTTTTCCAAAAAATATTTAATGTACAGATTCGGCTTATTATAATTTTATTATATGTATAGATAATGTGTTTTCGTCTATAGGTGTGCTTGAAACTTTAGATACGTTTCAAAACAGTGGAGAAAACTACTTTTTTTCATCATTAACCGATTGAAACGAATGTTCGTTGAGAAGTGATTGCTATACCTAAACCTACAACAAAGCTAACTAATGAAAAAAATAGACGAAGCCTGGATACGTTCCCTAGTTTTTTATCAACTCGACTCAAAATACTAAATTTGAAATTATAATGATACTAGCATTTTTTATATATGAATTTTTTTTAGGTATTTCTTAATTATTGGAGACGTAGATACCTATAGCTGTAATATAACTTACTCCTACACCCCAGTGCATCCTGGCTGGGTGCATAGGTGAACGGGGGTTATTGATTTGTTGGCCCCTTTAGCTCTATTGATTTATGTCCCTAGACTATCGTTCAGAAACTGTTAAAGATATGTGAAAAAATCATATTAATTTTAACGACATATTTCAAGGCAGCAAAAACAAAAGACTATCAGTTAAAATCGCGCAATAGGGAATACTTTTTAACGTATATTTTAAATGAGCGTTTCGGGGTAAATTTCTAATAAAAAAATCGTTTGATAGAATATTTCAAAACTAAATTAATGGTAGCAATTTTTAATTATTTTCATTACATTACATAATGTAGTTTTAATAAAAAATATACTTTAGCAATAACTCGTACCTTGTACATTTCTGAACGAATTCGCACTCAAGGAAAATCAATACTGCCCCTGATTCCTCCTTTTGGATCCTGCCTTCGCCGGGACAACATCACTTCTTCGAGGTGCTGAGAAAAATCCAGATTTGAAGAAGTTTCCAGACTCCTTCAATATGCAGCCGCCGAATTCACGTATAGGTAAGCTTTTAGAAATATTATACACCATTTAGTTAACAAAAAAGTTTTTTTTTTGTTTATTGTTTGCATAACTAGGTGTATATTTTGATACCCGGTCTCGCGCAAGTGTTTCAATATTTTTTTAATGGGCGATTTTTAAATCTTTTTTCATCTCAGTTTATTATAGGCCGCGTTAAGAAAACATGAAATTCTAATTACTAATGATGTCTTCTATTCACTTATTGAAAAGAAGCTTTAATTTAAATGAAGCTATCATCATAGCTTTAAATGATCACGGAACCCATTAGTTAGGGAACCTAATAGTTTTTGGACTACATTTTTCTCGGGGGAAATAAAGTATAGTTAGAGTAGTAATAGTATAGTACAGAGATCCTTTGCCTAGCATTGAGTTAACAAAGAATCTCTCGGAAATCCTCCCAATATGCGTTAACCTTTTTGTGGGCGGTCGAGGCGAGAGGGCGAGATGGATGGGGGGGGGGGGGGCATTAGCTACAGAAAATCAATATGCGAGTCTGATTCGTATTTTTTTCTATATATTCTGTAAATAAAAGATACACACTCTTAAGGCCGCGCGCACTTTGGACACGAATTTTGATCGTGCGTAAACGTACGATCACGACCACGATCGAATATAATCGAATGATCGAATTAAGTGCGCACATTGAATACGTTTTTCTCGGTCAAATAGGTAGTTTTCCGGTGATATCTCACTCGTGAAGTCCTCTTTGGAGCGCGATAAATAATCTGTATCTTCAAGATAATTCTCTTATATTAACTCGGAGACAGCGGCAGCGTCTTCGCAATCGTAGAACCGAATGGGTGCGTGAAATATATTAAAAAATACGTGATTTCGGTGAATTCCATCATATTATGGAAGACTCATATAATGACCACATACTGTTTCATGTTTATGCGCGTATGAAGAAACAAACATTTATGTTCATAAACTAAGTTTATAAATTTTTCTACATCCATTTTTAATTTTTAACGCACGAAACCGTATTAAAATCCCAACAAGTTCGGATTGTATTCGGACGTCGGAACTACTCGCACGTATACGACATACGTACGACTAACTCGTACGAAGTCTGCGCGCCCCCATAGTACTTGAAAGGTGCGGATCATTCGTGCGTGTTTGTACGTGTTCGTACGAGTAAAATTCATACGAAAACGTATCCAAAGTGCGCGCGCCCTAAGACTTAAGTAAATTACCACTAAATTGGTAGGTAATATGCATAAGAAAAAAATCTACTATAATATTTTCATAATACCATGATACCACTCCGGTAACACTTGTCACTATTTGGAAAATGGCAATATTCAATCAATTTTTTTCGATAAAGATTTTCAGACTAATATTTTAAAGAAAAAATATTTTGAAATATCAAACTAGAAATTATTGGAATATTATCTATACTATTCAAAGTTTAGAGTGAATCGTACGAAGGAGGGCTAAATATCCTACTAAAATATTTTTTGATTTCCGTGAAAATTTAATATTAGTTTATCTGGTTTGGAGGAAATAGTGTGGGACCTTTCTTTTTGTTAGTTATTTTATGAAAATTGATTATTTAAGTACAAGTTGCAAGGGCAAGCTCGTGTCCATGGTTGGTCTGATTAGATTAAGTAGCTGTGCGACCGAGCTTCGCTCGGAGTTTTTGACCAAAAGTTCAATTTTCTTTTTAATTTGGCTTAAAAAAAGTAAAAACTTGATTGAATACAAAAAGAACAAAAGGAAAAACGTTTTATCCGACCGGGATTCGAACCCGGACACCTGTGAATATCAATCTTGCGTTTTGACCGCTTGACCACGATGCCCGAGCGTGCGAAATAAGCGACCATATTTTGCGTGCGGAAAAACCCCAATAAAATTCGAAAACACGCGTTTTCCCAGACATTACACTAATTTAGTACGATTATTCGCCCCCGAAAACCACATACCAAATATCAGCGAAATCGTTTGAGCCGTTTCCGAGATCGCCGGTATACATATAAAAGAATTGCTCTTTTAAAGGTATTAGATAAGATGTGATGCACTGATGCACCTACAGGCTACAATATATAAGTTGACATTTAAACTTTAATCGTGACAGTTATAGAAAAAAAATTTGATCGAACTGTTGAAAGGGTCTATGCGGAGCTTTAGATTATCCATCTGGTAAGCGTATACAGGTATATCTGGATATTTAGAAAGTTTTAAGGAAACATTGTACATATTAAGGAGATCTTATGAATGAATTATTTAAAATTGTAAGCATGAATTATTACATTTTGAAATTATTGCATTATGAAATGCGTTAATTTGATCCGGTCATTGTGAATAATGTCCAAGGGCATCGGTCAAATTGATAAAATTACTTTGGCTGACTCATACTAATAATGACCGACGGCCGGAGTCCATTTAAAAAACAAGGTTTGAGATAGCTGGAATTTATCACTTGAACCGGGCAGTGTGAATACGTCCCAACTTCAAGCCGGGCAATGTGACAAATTCGGTTGTGCCGTGCGACGTGCGTGAAGCGCGCGCTGAGGAAGGGCCGCGAACGCACGCAACGACGTATAGTTCGCAGTGATAAAGAAATCAAACATTCTTTGCAATTCGAAATATCACAAAAACTCGCCTTGAAAGAATAAATAATTCTGATTATTAATAAAATTCTTGCACAATCCTAAGATTTTAAATATTTCAGTTGATTTTTCGTAGATTACATAGTGACTAATTTTTAAAGTATTGTTTATAAGTAATATTTTTATCAAAATTAAAAATAAGGTTAGCTATAAATAAAACCACCGATGTTATTACTTACTAGCGACTCATCCTCGCTCCGCTCGGGTTCGTCCCTACTTACGTTTTAAGGTTTAGATAGATTACTTAGATATGAGAAATTTTCCCGCAGTAAAAAGTATCCCATATGTTGACCCGGATAACCAACCAGCTATCGCCATACCAAATTTCATTGAAATCCCTCCAGTGTTTATTGTGATGCGGTAACAGACAGACAGACAGACAGACAGACAAAAATTCTAAAAACTATAGATTCGGCCTCTGTATCGATAATAATGTTTATTTCAATAAGATATTCCAAAAAATATTTAATGTACAGATTCGGCTTACTTACAATTTTATTATAATATGTATAGATGAGAAATATCAATACATATAATGCCATCTATTGACAATTATTAGAACGAATTCTTCTTTGTTCCTGATGAAAGCCTATAACAATATATTACAAAGACTCCTAAGAATATTATCTTATGTCATGGATTCTTAACTATATATTTATTCTATTTGTAAAACAAAAAACGAAACGAAAGGAAAGATCTTTAAGTTATTTTCAATGTTATTTTTTAAATATTCAAATTTTGACCCCATTACAATTTATAAAATGCATAGCTAGGTATACATATAAAGCACCAAAGACGATTCTGGTAATAATAGATTTATTGTTATATACAGCAAAGACGTTGTGTCTCGACGATGAGAAAAATAAAAACACTCAATACCTGGAGGCAAATGGTCTCCAAACGATGATGGATCTCGAGACTGACACCCGCTACGAAAGTATGCTGTGGTGCATGCAACTTCTTAAAAAGATACAGGTATGATATATATATATAATTTTTCAAGTTGCACTCCATTTGGTATATAAGGGTGGTTTAATTTTCATATATATTATGTCCTTGGGTAGCTCACCCAAGTGCAGCATAATGTTGTTAAATAAACTTGTTGGCCAAACGACGTGTAACCCTTCGGATGCATGGTTCACATTTCTATATAACGTGTCAATTATCACGGCTATGCGAATATCAAACTGATGTGGTTGTTAGAAAACTAAAAATATTTGAGAACTAGCATTACCCGCGGCTCCGCCCGCGTTCAGATGACCAAAAACCAAATTCTTAGGTTTTACACATCAGTATAAGTACTCTTACATTGCAGTTTTTGAATTTTTTCTCAGAAATGAGACATTTTCCCGCGGTAAAAAGTATCCTATATGTTGACTCGAATAACCAGCTATCACAATACCAAATTTCATCGAAATCCCTCCAGTGGTTTTTCTGTGATGCGGTAACAGACAGACAAAAATTCTAAAAACTATAGATTCAGCCTCTGTTTCGATAATAATATTTATTTCAATAAGATTTTCCAAAAAATATTTAATTTAAAGATTTGGCTTGGTTACAATTTTATTATATGTATAGATGACATGGTGGCGTGATACAACGCTTAATTTTGTCATTTCCATCTTAGTTTTTCGATTTTGTTGTTTTCATTGCACTATACAAAAAACTGTGTTACCTTTTTAAAATGCCAGCCGTTAATTAAATATAAATGAAAAGTTATTGCAACAGCGAACTCATATTGAAGTTATAATTCATCGCGTTCTCTATTTTTTTTATAACTCGTACCTTATTTACTGTTATTACTATAGGTTCCCGCATAGAAAAATGTTTGATTACCTTTAATTTACTAAATATCATCAATTTCAGATCGGACGTGATGAAGATCAAACCCTGCCTTTCAATTTCATGGTATCTTATAACAGGCCAGACGGGGTGTTCGGTAGCTATACTGGCAATATCTCGCACATGTAGAAGGAGTATTCAGCATAAAAAAATATTAAACGTTAAAAATCTCTTCATGCACTTCATCTAGTAGTTTTTGAGATATAATAACATAATATGGATATTTACTTAAACTTATAATCTTAACTCTGACATCTATTGTAATCTCTATTGTAAATGCATGTTGTGGGTATTTATCGATCTATCGATTAGGAATAGTGATTTTATCGATAATTATTAAAATTAACAAAAAGTATTTAATCAAGTAATAAATAAGTAATATTTGCTATCACAAAAGGTACTCCAGTTATATCCAATATTCAAATATTATTATTCTCTAATTATTATAGACTTAATTTAAGTATAATATCTATATTATATATTAAAGTACTATTATACTCGATAATTAATTAATAATTCAAAAAATAATTTAAAAAAAATCGCCATAATAATATTAAGCATTAACAGTAATAACTAATTTTTGACATAACTTTTTAAAGAGTTGTATTATTTTTTTTAACTAATTTGAAATTATACTAAAAGTTTGCGTTTCATGTATACTACCGTTATTAGACTACATATATTACATAATATCCATTGGAATTTTGCTCTCGCAGAAATAGTTATTATATTTTTGATTACTAGTTGGAAATTTTTCAGTATGTAATGGCATCATATTTACAAAAATATATTATAAAAAACACTTTATTTACGTTTATGCATTCGAATGTTCTCTTTATATTTAATCAATTAAAACATCTCCATAATCTTATATTAATAATATAACTTTTAGCTAATACGAACTATATTTTACTATTTTAAAAGTTACAGGAGATGTCGCACTTTTATTTTTACGTTATAAATCTTTTCATATACTTCATGTAGTAGTTTTAAGCAATAGTAATAAGTAACGACGTAAAAGTACTTGAAAAAAACAAAAAAAATATGTAATTCTGTAATATAGGTAATAAGGAATGAGTTAATTTTATCTTATACGACAATATCCTTGATTTAGAGTGTAAAACAACCCTCTGGTATTATAAGCGTACTTGCATAAGGTACGGCTGCGGTACGGCAATTACTATGATGCAGGCAATATGTTGGAAAATTTAGAGTCCGTTTACACTTTAAGCAAATGACATTATGCACAAAAAAGGCGATTTGAGATTTATATGTTAAAATGGATTACTTTGAAAAGAAATCTCTATTGCTCTCAGGATGGAAACGTAAAAGATAAAATTCATTCATAGTAATAAGTAAATAAAATAGTTTTAAGAATTTTGAATTTTTTTATATATTTATTTGACATTTTACATGAAATTATTCATAGAAACAAGTTAGTCGTACCATTATAATAAATGAGATACGTAGAAATTAAAGGAATAGCGCTTTAGATATAAATTTTGACAATTTCAACTCTATTCGCATCTTTACATGATATTTTTATATCATCTAAGAGAGGATAGAGTACGCTTACATTCTGAATTAACATCTTTTCTTTATTACGAAATACACTCATCCACTCAAAAGTAAATAATATGATTTTATAACAAAAAATAATTAAGATTTGCAATAATATTTTAGTTAAGAAGTTTAATTTTAAGTCTAACAGTGTTAAATAACCTTTCTATAATTGTATGTTTTCATTTCCCTGTCTCATATTATTTGCGGCTAGCCCATGTAGACTTTTGGCACTATATGAGCTACAGAGATGTGAGTAGGTACGGTAGGCTATACTTAATAAAAATAGGTTACGAATTGATTTTTACAAGCACCTAGAGCATAATTGCTTCAAGTAAAACATGTCATATGAAAAGGCAAGCTTGCATTGTCTCTTTTAGAGTGAATAGAGATAAAATGAATTCGTTACTAAATTATTTTTAAGAAATTCGAGTTACATTTATATACGGCACAGTAAAAAGTTTGGATATACACATACATACTGGTTTTTATTTTGGTACTACGGATAGCAGTAATAATATCGTTGGCGTAAAGTGTGACATCCACTGCACCATAAATGATAATAATAAATTGTAACACCGAATTGACTGGACTCTGTTTACACTTTATTTAACGATATGTACATAAATATTGAATTAATGTCTACAGTCAGCATCTGGAAAAGATGTCTTCATTGGCTTGAACCGTACACAAAATAAAATCTAGTTTGTAATAAGGAAATTTAACAGCTGATAGGTGGGTATTGAGATAGTGACTTGAGGTTTACATAACAGAAGGAACGATCTCGATAAAAACCTCGGTAAAGTTATCCCGTAAAAATAATTAAGAATTTTTAGTTTATATAATTAATTAAAATTTTACTTAGTTGGGTACTTGAGCAAATAGAAATAAGGTGTAGTTTGTAGCATAGTAGGTACATGGTTAACTTATTAAAATTTAATCGATTTCTAAAATAAGTGGTCGAAAAGCTGTAGCCCTTGAAAATTGTTGGCATTTCAAGGGCTATGGCGTTTAAGTACCGTACTCAAAGCGTACTTATAGAGTTCTCATAAATTTTTATTTTCATTTCATATTTCAAATCCAAGGTAGTTTAATTTATTTATTGATTATTTAAATATAATTGGATAAACAATTTATTTAAAAGCATGGATTAATAGATTTGGTGATGAAAGTAACATAATAAGTTACTCGATATATTTAACTGTAGGATTGATGAATACAATAATGTATGACGTAAAGCAAGATGAAGGGTTTCGGATTTTAGATATTTTTAAATATATGTTATTTATGTTATATAAAATTTGTTAAAATTATTCGATTTAAATGTGTCGGATTCCATGTCTACAAATATTTTATTTTATGTTTTTGTTTCTCTCCACATACCACATAGATATAATATGAGAACAATAACTAAAAGTATTGGATGTCCTCGCGAAATATCAACAACTACTTTACAGTAATTTATTGTGGCATTTTCATCACCTGTGTGTATGTACTTATTTATCAAAGGAATGTAATAACGGTTATGTTTTTTGGAAATAGGTTTGTTATATTTTTTATTAATATTTTTTTTAATTTTAAAAGGTAGGTAAGTGTCATCTAATATGACTAAGGTTCAAATATTAAATTCTTATATGGAGATAATAATTTAGCGATTAGTTATAATCTTACTAGGTACTATTAACACAACCTACAGAACATACTTTAACCAATACATTTACGTACATTTTTAATCATTAGTATTTTTTCGATTTTCGGGACAGTCTCCAATATTACGAGATATTGGTTGACATTAGTCTACGAATTCAGCTCTTGCGCTTTAACTTCAAACCTTTCGTCTCTCAAGCATCTCTTGTCTTCTTAGTAAATATTTTTTTAAGTAAATTATACGGTGAATAAAAGGCAGTGGTAGCCCAGTGGTATCACGCTCGCTTGGGAAACCGAGTGAAGCGGGTTCAAATTCCGGGTCTCGCACCTCTGATATTTTCACGTGCGAATCATTTCTAACACGATTACCACTTGCCTTACGGTGAAGGAAAACATCGCGAGGAAACCTGCATGTCATTTTAGGTAGTGGTAACCAAGTGGTAACGCGTTTACTTGGGAAACCGAGTGAAGCGAGTTCAAATGTGCGAAGCATTTCCAACTAGATTACAACTTGTCTTATCTTAAAGTGAAGGAAAACATCGTGAGGAAACCTGCATGTCTGAGAGACCCTAGCAAGTTTTCGAAAGACATGTGAAGTCCGCCAACCCGCCCTTGGCCAGCGTGGTGGACTATGGCCTGATCCCCCTCGTACTGAAGGGAGGCCCACCCCCAGCAGTGGGACGTTAAAAAAAAGGGTTGAATACTACTACTATACTATACGGTGAATACTGAGTAAATAAAATGAATAAAATGTTAATTAGTATGTAAAATACCTAATTTTAAATAGAATATAATTAGAACTAATTCAAACGCTGAAAAAGCGTCGAGACAAGCTCCAAGTCGTTCGTTTAAAAAGGTAGAACAAATGGAAGGTATTTTTTATGTAATTAATAATACCTTTCCGTGTTTAATGTATCATTTAATAATCGATATCAGTGTCTATAATATTTATAGTTATAATTACTACTACATCTTTTATCGATAAAAATAAGGCATTTTTCGACATTCGGTTCCATGGCATTATAACTTAGATTGTAGGTACTTAGCTTTCGATGTATCGATACTATGTATGTTACATCCAAATATATTTTGAAATATTTTTATCCCACAATTATTGCGAGACAAGTAAAAAAATAACTATTGGTTTAAACTCAATTTATATATATAATACCTATATTTATAAAGAACCCTTGCACGGGAATTATTTGCTTACTTTAAAATTGTTTCGACTTTACTGTTATTATTTCTATTATTCATAAATAGGTTTAGAATATTATTTTTGGAGGAATATATTAAATTTGGAATATTGCAGTAAAAGGGAAGGAAAAATGTAAGGGTTTACAGATATTTTTTATCTTTATATATTTTACTATATAAAATCTACAATTATTACTATTTACTTCTACTCCTATAGTGTGAAATGTTAAGTCAAACTTTCTTTTACACACACTTTTGTGATAGTATAATCACATACTTTAAGTAATATACATATTATGTGTATCTCATGAATGTCTATTTATTGAAATAAATGTATCCAATACAGATTTTGTTTATTTTAAACCTTCTCCCCCCAAGAAAGAGAAAACTCTAGAATGCCCTTAAATTAAATCTTTCTTTTTACTATTTTGTCTCTTAGCTCAATTTTATGATTAATTTAAATACATACTTATTTTGACGTAAATCCTTAATATAATACTTAATATTATAAATATGCAACGTGTGTTTGTTTGCTTATTTGTCCTTCTTTCACGTCGAAACAGAGTGACCGATTGGCGTGACTTTTTACCGCGGGACATTAAATTATTTCCATGGGAAAACACATTATAATACAACCTAACTAAATATTTATGATTATAATTACTTGAAAATTGGTATCAATGCTATTCAACATAATTAAATACTTATTATAAAAATAAGTC